AAACTGCAAATGCATTGGTATATCTCCACGCTTCTGATATCATCCACAGAGACGTAAAAACCAACAACATTCTCCTTGACAACCACTTCAGTGTCAAAGTAGCAGATTTTGGCCTCTCACGTCCCTTCCCAATCCATGCCACACACGTTTCCACTGCCCCACAGGGAACTCCTGGTTATGTGGATCCAGAGTATCACGAGTACTACCAGCTCACTGATAAGAGTGATGTTTACAGCTTCGGGGTGGTGCTGATCGAGCTCATATCTTCTATGCATGCGGTTGATATCTCAAGGCGTAGACATGAGATCACCTTGTCCAACATGGCCATCAAGAAGATCCAAAGTGGTGCGTTGCATGAGATTGTGATCCAACTCTTGGTTTGGGTCAGATTTCAAGGTCAGGAAAATGATCAGTGCAGTGGCTGAGTTGGCGTTTCAGTGCTTGCAGAGTTCCAAAGATGTGAGGCCTACTATGGCAAGAGTGTTGGATAGACTTGAGCGAGTCAAGAAGTTGAATGGGAAGTATACAGAGCAGAGCCAAGAGATGCTTATAATGATCATAGAAGATGATACTGCTTTCTCTCAACTGACCTCTCCTCCTTCCCTGATTCAAATTTTTCAAACTGTACGTAGTATAGTTAACTAGTCTATGATTTACATTAGCTGTTGTACATAGAATCATAGAGCTGATTCATTTGGTTATCAAAAGTTTATTCCCAATATTTTTTTTTTAATTCTTTTATGATTATGCGGTCATGTTTTGATCTCAAGGGGGTTAAAGAACGAATGACATATTTTCTTCCTCTGTCAAAGATATTCTATCAATGTTGTATCATCTTCTTGGAAAGAATTGCGTCACGCCCTATATCTCATTCATCATCTCCCACTCTAACCCAAATTGCCACCACGTAAACATTCTTCAAATTACAATAATATCCCCTTATTTTTGTTTACATAGCTTACTTTTAGGCTGATGTAAATAACACATTATAGAAGCATATTTTGTATTGCTATAGAATATAATAAGATATACTATTTGGTATTTTTTTTATCAACAATAAAATTATATTAGATATAATTGTAACTCCATTTAAGCCTCCTTTGTTACCCCTTTGTGGATTGTTTTAATAACCCCGGAATTGGTTTGATCCATTTAATTTCAACTTGCATTTACAGTTAGTATGAGCTTGATTAATGATTTTCCTTTTATCCGATATTCGTATTATTGTCCACTACTGCAATGAACTAACTATGGCTCACTCAAGTCCAATCTGTTATGAGGGGCCTCCATATATATTTTTTCTGTTGCGCCTTGAACTAGCATAAGGATACCTCTACCTCTAAAGTCAGTCCATACTGAGAGTTCCTTTGCTTACATTACCATCAATCTGTAGGCTCTTGCAATCAAACTCTTGCTATGCTAAATTTCAAAAGGTGTTTGTTGTGGTAAATGATGGTGTAGAGAACTTACTCCTATCCATTTATCACAAATACCCTACACTCTACTTGCAACCCTACGACTAAAGAACTCGTGACTCACTATTTCTCCTAACTGACCGCACAAAGCACATAAGGTACCATCGATCATACCGCCTATACCTACATTTCCTCGGATCGTCTACTCTTCAGATCACCACTCTCCATGCCAATTAATGGGCATATGAGAATTCTTTAACTTTCCACAACTACTCATCGAAATATGCATCTTTTTCCCCTATAATATTATTTTGTAATAACTTATATGTGTGCTTGACAATATATTTGCGATTCATAACCCTTTCAAATCCATTCATCTTTGTTACCTCTACTCCCCCGAATATCTTCTATGAAGTTTGTTACTTGGAATACTTCCCATTCAAACTGATGAATCCCTAACCCCTACCAAGTATGGAGAAAAATGCTTAGTAAAAATAAACATGCTTAGAAGAGAGGTTTTGTCAACTTCTTTCCCTTACATGATTAGCTTTTCTCTTAAATAATTTCTAGACTAATGTTTACATTATGTTTTGTAGTAATTTAATTTGCATATAAACTTATTCCAAGTATGTCTTTAAACTGTGTGAATTGAATATTGAAAGGGTCAACTGTGGCAAAATACTCTTGAAGAATGATTTTCTTGTCTCATAATTGTACATATAATTGGAAAAACTTGTGACAAACATTGATTTTCAAATAGTTTGGTGTGATTGCATTGAATCAAATCTTTGTGTCAAGGAGAGAGTATTACCAAACTTTTAAATATTTGAGTGTTATAAGCTTGAGTGTAGAGAGCTGTAACGAAAGCAGTTGTTATGGAATTAATTTTTACCTGATTTTTGTTAATATACTCACGTAAATGGTTAGAAAGATAAAGATATTGTTTCGATTTATGTATTCACAAAGCTACTTGGCCAATAGCCACTTGGTATATGTGAATCATTTGTTTGTTAACCTTTTGGATCTATTTTGTTCATTCTATTATACTAGTCTTTGAGAAAAAATATTCATCCCACACCTAGCCAAACATGAAAGACTATTGGGGAAGCAACCTTCCCACCCAAACAACTCAAAATCCTCAGAATAAGATCGAATTAAAACAAGGGAAAGTATAGAAGTAAAAGGCCCCCACCACATAATAGTGTTCTTAGAGATCATTTAGTAACTTTGCAGCTTCCTGGAATGCCTTTGTTGCATCATGGCATGAGTACCAGAAGACCACCTAAACAAGAAAGAGGATGAGCTTAGCATATAAAATATAAAGAATAACAAATGGCACAATGTTTGCCACATATGTGACACTCTAAAATCTCTTGACGAACACGCTCAACATCTGACTCTAAATCAGCATTTTGTTCCTTCAACTATTTTAAGGTTCCTTCATTTCTTTCCAAAGACAATTGAGTTAATGGAAGTGACCCTGACGTGTACAGGAATAAGTGCTGGAGATCATCAAAACCATTCTTAAGAAGGGTGACCTACCAACTCAACGTGTTTGAATGAACAACTTTTATCAGCTGGTGTTCGATGTTGCTCTGGAAGTTGCAGATCACCAACACCTTTCGGTCCTCTTCGAATTCGAACCTGATTTAAAAACTTGGCAACTCACAGACCCTATATTGTGTCCCAAGCACTAAGCAGGTAGGCGACAAGGAAAAACAGATTGGCTAGCACAAGTCAAACCTAAATTGAACTTGATAATAACATTATAATTAATATAAATAAAGCACCAAGGGAGTGTAAGAAAGATAACATGAAGCCAACAGTGGTTGCTTTTAACAAATTGTGTGAATACAGAAAGTTAAAACATGAAGCTCATTTCATCAAGAACTCCCCAAGCATAACAGCAAAACGTTTTCAGTTTACACCTACAAAAACCCGAGCTATTCATATAATGCACCAACGCATAGAAATTTTAAAGGAAAAAATTTACATTTTGTTGTAATAATGTTAGATTATTGCAAAAGCAACACTTAAATTGCCACCAACGTTCATATTCATTTTCTTAGTGCTCCAACGGTAAAATATATAATGATTTTTATTTTCCTTTATTGATTTTATTCTCCCTTAGCTTTATAAATAGAGAGTTTCTTCCCCCATCCACAACACACCAAAAAGCCATCTTCTCTCATTTTTCCTTTCTTCTTTCTCCTTTTCTCTTCCTCTTCTAAAATTATTCTGGGTTATTTATACTCTTTTTAAAGATTCTTGTTAGTTCTGAGATTCTCAGAGATATTCTGGAAAGTTCCTGTTGTATCCTGGGGGACTTGCGCAATACACCGCGGATAAGTCCTTAAGGACAGTGAATCTACACGCCTAAGGAAATATTATTCGTGATTATGTCAGCTTTTATATACAACAATCTTAAGGACTTAGGGTTGACATCAATAACTCAATCGTGGAGGATCAAAACTTTGTTTTCAGAACTCAAACAATATTTGCGAAACCCATAACTTCCGGAGGCTGCCAAGGTACTCGCAGCAGCGATGGCTTTTGATCGTATTTGTAAGGATCGCGAATGAGGACGAAGCAGGTGAGGTACTTGAGTAAATTTTCGTATACTTTACCTACAAAGAGAAAAGCACAACCAGGTATTTTCTCGTTTACCAATCTTAAATATTTTTAAACGTTGGGGGTGTAAGTAATTTTATTTAATTACTTGAAGAAATAAATTTGGCTTTTCACCTAATGATATTGATAATATTCTAAATTTGAAAGTAGAGAATATGTTATTTTGTAATGTGATGACAATGTTAATTCTGGTATGGGTGATTGTGGGGTATGTGGGTGGTGTGCGTGATTGGTGGTTGGGGCTCCGGTAATGGTTAGTTGATGGTTCTGGTATGGGGTCAATGGCAATGTTCATTCTGATGTGCCAAGGGAGTGTGCCAGGTTTTGCTCTTTGACCATGAAGATGATCAGCCACGGTTCCATTTGGAATGTATTCGTACACCAGCAGAAGTTCTCTACTGTGGCGAGGAGTGCATCCATATAGAGACACAAGGTTCTGGTGGTGTAGGCCAGTTAAGATCTCCACTTCATTCACGAATTGCTCAACTCTTTTCAAACTGTTCTCGTACATTCTCTTCACTGCAACTAATCGTCCATCCTGAAGTTTCCCTACACAACAAATCAATATATCACAATTCAAATCAATATATCTCCCATTCTAAACTTTATATACACAGTTTTATAGAAGAAACTAAGTTCCTTTCAGTGTTAGATTCTAATATTGCTTATGTCACTAAGAACAACATAAACTGTGAATGTCTCAGGTACAAAATTGATAATTAGTGAATAATTATGAGAAAGGTGATTGGTTTTACCAAAATACACTTTTCCAAATCCTCCGTCTCCTAGTTCTCTGTCTGGATTAAAGAAGTTTGTGGCCTCTTCAAGTTCACTATAGGTGAAGAAGTGGACTCCAATGTATTTACTTCCCTTCTCATAATCTTCTAAAGAAGAACTATGTGAGATTCCTTTAGAATTATATATTACAGAAGGTGTTACTTCACGGAGACGATTCTTCTTCTTTAGACGACCATAATAGATGTAAAAGCCAAGGCTAAATACAATTCCACTTATCACTGCAGCAGCAACACCTACCAACAATCATTCAAATTTTCGGTTAGTATAACTGTATTAATGAAATATTATACAACATTGTGAATTCTCTTCCAAGGATAATGGGATATATATTACCTATAACCAGCTTCCTTTGCCAGTTCCATTTATCGCCTGAGACAGTCCACATAGAAGACAAACAGGAGTGAGAACAGTTTGTGGAAAATCATGAAAATTCAAGGAGGATATAGAAGAAAAATATCTAATTTTTTATGAGTTAGGTAATGAGTAAACTACATAAAAAGAGAATGATAAGCAACATATCGTCAAAGTCAACAGACCAAAATAGTTTCACATAGAATTGCACTATAAAATCTGGATTTAGATGGAGAGGGAGAAAAGAACACAACCACATCAAAGAATGTAATTTATGATTAGACCATTATTGAAAAATTCAGAAGATGTAACATCACTTTGGCAATACTTTGTGAGCACCAAATTAACACCACTAAGACAAAATAAACACGTGAAAAAATAAATGTCCAAACACAACCTAATCATATTATTCCGTGTCACAGAAAATTCTGAAGAAATAAGAGGAGGATTTCTGTGAAGCCTCCTAAACTAGAAGCAACAAATTGTTTGCCACCAACCCACAAAAAAGAGTCAACAACTTTGAAGATTCATCAGCCACCTAAAAGATTCATCAGCCACCTAAATCCTAACATAGGTTCCTGTAACATCTTTCAACACCAGAAATATTTTTATCTAATTAGCTACAACAAAATTGTTCTCTGACTTGGTCAATGGTTTATTTTTTACTAGGTTCCTAGTTCTACAGATTTCTAAACAGCCATTTCTACAGATTTCAACAGGCAAACAAAATAAATCTATTATCAAAAGTTGAAATCCATATGTATATGTGCATGAAGGACACATTGAATGAAGAGAATAGAAGAGAAGTGAAAGAAGACATACTATTAGAGCAATCTAAACCTTCACTTCCATTGGGGCAAAAGCATGAAAACTGAGACTCATTATTAGCCCCACATGTTCCATTAGTTGAAACGCATTTTAAGCACTGAACTTGTGCCTCTGAAATAAGATGTATTTCAAACCCTTCACTCAAGGCTTTGTTGAGTCCTTGAATTCCCCGATCAGGGTCAAGTTCCTGTGCTACTTGCACTTCAATCCTAGCTCCATCACAGTCTTGGACTTTCCCAGTTGCAGGGTCCCCATAGAAAGCACTCTTGTTACCATCTTCCTTGCATTGAAAAGAGCGTGTGCTGTTTGAAATCAGGGAATAGGGACAACCATAGTAGATGGTGATGTTCCTAACATTCAAGTATCGAAAGAGATTTGAATCCACGGAGTTGTTGGTTACGGCCGAGGAAGAGCAATTATCATAGACAATGCCTGTTCGAACGATTTTCACGGTGTACTGAACTGGATCAAAGTGAAGAACTTGAAAAGTTTGTGAGCCAAGTTGAAGGGTGGAGTTTTGATTATCCTCACAGTTGAGCTTGAATTTGTGGTTGCTAGCACAATAACTGGGTCTGCTCCCTCCCCAGAAAGGGTAGTAGATGGACGTTAGTCCGCAGCTGAATGGCTTGCTACACTCTTCGTGTTTGTTCTCTTCTTGGGAACTGATTGATGCCACCAAGACCAAGAACATTGATGCAAGGAAGAAGAAGCTCACTGGAACATTAGCCATAGAAAAAGCAGAGAAAATGAGAAATGAAGGAAGGGTAGGTCTACGATATAAGTGATCAATGCCATGACGTTGTTCCTTTTTAATATTCACTTTATCCATTGACCTTCTGAATTTTCAATAGCTGCTGAATTGGACGATATTTACGTTTCTTGTTCCAATCTTGGTCTTCCTTATGAACCTTCCACCTCGCCACCTCAACAGCTATTACAAGACACGAGTACAATTATTTTTTTAAAATTTTGAATACCATGGGTTGATATACAACAAAAGTTTATAAAATATTCATCAATAAAAATATATTGATATTTTTTTATTAATATACCGTTATGATGATCACACTTCACGACCATATTTGAGATTATAATAAAAAAATATATAGTTTAATTAGATTTTTAAAGTTTTGAATATGTGATGTTCATACCCCGAAAGCTTGATTTCAAGTTTTGTTATATCATATCAAGAAACGCTCCATCATATTATATGGTGTGTTTTATCTGCAATCACACCAAAATTCACATATTTCAACAAGTATGCAAATATTTCAAAGCTCTGTCTGAAGCATTGAATCACACATGTGATTACTTGA